ACCGGCCCCGCCCTCACTATCGCTGCCTCACCGGCCCCGCCCTCACTCTCGCTGCCTCACCGGCCCCGCCCTCACTCTCGCTGCCTCACTGGCCCCACTCTCACCGTCGCTCCCTCTCTGGCCCTGCTCTCACCATCACTGTCTCACCGGCCCCGCTCTCACCGTTCCTCCCTCAGCTGCCCCACTCTCACCGTCGCTCCCTCTCTGGCCCTGCTCTCACCATCACTGTCTCACTGGCCCCACTCTCACTGTCACTGCCTCACTGGCCCCACTCTCACCATCACTGCCTCACTGGCCCCACTCTCACTGTCGCTGCCTCACCGGCCCCGCTCTCACCATCACTGCCTTACTGGCCCCACTCTCACTGTCACTGTCTCACTGGCCCCACTCTCACCGTCACTGCCTCACTGGCCCCACTCTCACTGTTGCTGCCTCACCGGCCCCGCTCTCACTGTCACTGTCTCACCGGCCCTACTCTCACCGTCACTGTCTCACTGGCCCCACTCTCACCGTCACTGCCTCCCTGGCCCCACTCTCACCGTCACTGCCTTACTGGCCCCACTCTCACTGTCGCTGCCTTACTGGCCCCGCTCTCACCATTGCTGCCTCACCTCCCCGCTGTCAACATCGCTCTCTCTCTGGCCCCGCTCTCACCGTCGCTGCTTCACCAGCGCCGCTCTCACCGTCGCTGCCTCACTGGCCCCACTCTCACTGTCGCAGCCTCACCAGCTCCGCTCTCACCGTCGCTGCCTCACCAGCTCCGCTCTCACCGTCGCTGCCTCACCAGCTCCGCTCTCACCATCGCTCCCTCATCGGCCCCACTCTCACCACTGACATTGTTCTGGCCCGCTCTCGCTGCCCCCTCACCGGCCAGTTCTCACCACTGCCCCCTCACCGGCCCACACTCAACCTGCTGTCACTGCAGGACATGGCCCATGCGTTCAGCTCTGGCCATGCGGTTTCCGGTTGCGACCCGACTCCCTACGTAGGCTACACCCTGGCCAAACAGAGGGTTGTTGCTCTGCTGACCTCTCCTGAACCCATAACAAATACTGCCACTTTGCTTGAACTCAAGGACTTCAAAAATTAACATTGGGCTGAACCTTGCTTTTTTTGACTGTGTTAGTTGCATCAACTTTTTTGGGGGGATTTTCACTGCAAGACTGTAGATTGCTCCATTAACAACCTATCCTACCCTTATGGCTTCCCTTGCATCTGATTCTAGCTCCATCTTACCATGCAACATTCCTGGAACTACTCACCAGACATCGGATATTTACTGAAAGGTAGGTATGCTTTGCACCTGCACCATCTTTAAGAAGCCATTCTGCTAAAATTGGAGCACATTGTCCTGAGGTGCCCTGCAGGCTTCCTGACATTCATCTTGGAAATGTCAAACAGAGGGAAATGGAAACAGATAGTATCCTTCAGATCCTGCTGGCCAGAGTGGTATAGATGCAGAAAATCCTCTATCCCCAGGACCAGCAGTGGAACCTGTCACACTAAACCTTGACAGCTTGGTTCGCGGTTGCCATTGGGTCAGTATAGTTTCAGCTGTCTGGAAGATTGGCCAGCAGTGTAAGAAGAATATTTGTGACCTTCTTTACTCCACCAGTGTAAGTGCTAATATCTTCTCTCCCATACCTCACTTACGCTCTGCTACTGTACCCACCTCCCACTGAGGCTCATGCTTTGCTACTTCCACTATTGCCTGCAAAGCCTTCCCTCACTTGATGTTGCCCACATCAATCCCCAATACCATTAACACTGTGTACCCAATGTGCCGCCTGCACACTCGCTCGGCCACCTCTCCTCATGCACCAAACGTAGTACTGTGTCGCCCACTTTCACCTTTTAGAATACCTATCTCACTCTCATGGCAGGAGGAAAACAGCCCATAATAAGGCAGAAAGAGGGTAGTAGGCTGCGTGACATTTGGTTCCTCACCCATGAGAGGATCCTGCTGACTGACTGTATCCATGCCCCTGGACTGGTATCAAAGGCTGCCCGTGACTTACTGTTACTGGGACCCCCATGAGTACAAGCTATCCCCCTTGACTGAGGAGTACTGACAACAATGACAAGCTTCCTGGCTTTGTGGCTGTGCTAAATGGCAAAACGAGACAGTGATGCTGTGAGTATCCGGGTAGGCTCAGAGTGAGCGAGCTCTGTGACAGCAAGACAACAGGCTGGAGATAAATCCTGCTCTAGTCCGTGAGCTAGGTGTGTGCTCCTGAACACACAGTGTCCTTGTTGCACTGTTATAATGACAGTTACCCTGAGGAGCAGCACTGAAATGATCTATAAATGGATCAGCGATGTGCCATGAGGCTGGCATGTGGACACCAATGTCTGTGTGTGGGGCTGATGCCCATGGAGCCTGCTGTAAGATGCTGTTGCCCAGTGTCCAACATGAAAGCCGTTCACTTCCATGTCAAGAATTCTCAAAGTTCAACACATTTGGTAAGATGGGAAACTGAATATTAATGAAATGAGTTGCAGCATTAATAAAGTGTTTAACAAGTTGTAATTGTCCGCAATTGACACTTTGGCACTGCCTAATAAGAAACTTGCCCAGCTGCTCAGCAGAAGCATCAAAGATGGAGCAAGATGATCCCAACATTGAGGAAGCCCTTGCCTGACTTCTTGTTTGATTTTGCCTGACCATTGGTTATGTCGCTCAGTCTCCTGTAGGATTCTGCCTATTGTCTCAATGCATCAGTTAACTTTTCCTATCTTTCCAACACCCTCTATACTGTCCCCTTTAAAGCAGTGTCCATTTTGCTCAATTTCAGTCCATAGTCCAAAAAATATAGATGTCACCTCTTACATCTTAGTATCCATTTTTACAATGGTCTTGAAGCTTGTTAGAGGGCTTGTTCTGCTGCACTGTTTTTGAATACTCCTTTTTGAATCGCCCCCTTTTCTCATTTTTTAAATTGACGTCTGCTTTCTCTTAGTTCAGTGTGGGGCTAATTCCCAAAGTAAGTTCAAATTTGGGATAATTTTTCCATAGGGTGGGATTGAATCAGTTGGCTGCCTGCACCAACCTAGAAAACTTGGAGATACTGAATTTGCAAAGCAATCTTATCAGCTTCCATGTTTCCTACTTTGGGAACTTGTGATTGTTTTGTTTGCTGCTCATCTTGGCCTTCAAGCTTTTAACGCTGATTTCTTTAAAAAATAAGAAATTTCAAGGGGTGTGCACCATCTAATATTATTCTTGTGTTACCTCAGTATAACACAAATAAGGAATGTGTTTTCTATTTACTTGAAAATCTCTGGTGGGTTTAATTACAGCTAAACCAATAAATATATATACTACAGTAATCTCCAGTCACAGACTGCCTCAAGTGCTGTAGAGCAGTGAGTTTGAGTTCTGTGAACACGTGGTATTCACGGCCTTGACTTATTTGCATGTTGATCTCTTAAAGCCACATTGCTCCAAAGGTGATAACATGATAGCCTGCACATTCTTCCTTTTAAGGTAATGATCTATTCTCTCTTGGAAGCCCCAAATCCCTCCTAATTCACACTGTCCATGCCAGTAACATTCCAAAGCTCAGCGTTAGTTTTCACTATGTTCGTGTGCTGTTGATACCCATCTCAACTTCAATACCTCCTCTCTTGACACCTCCACTGTTGCCAAATTATGGATGATTTGAAACTTCCTCTAATTAAATATTGGGAATACTGGAGCCGTTGTTTTCAGTCCACACTCCAAACTATATTTCCCCAGCTGCTAACTCCATCCCTCTCCCTGGTATTTGAATCTAAACTGGTCTGTTCATAACTTCAATTAGATCACCCTTAACCATCTAAACTCTGGAAAAGAAAAGGCCTAATTTGTACAATCTCTCCGCATAACTTAACTCCTGAAGTCCAGGTATCATACTCGTAACCATATATTGTACTCCCTCCAAGGTCAATATATCCTTCTTAAGGTATAGTGCCCAAATCTGGTCTCAGTACTGAAAGTGGGGGCTAAGCAGGGTATTGTATAACTGCAGCATTCTTATATTCCAGTCCTTTAGATATAAACGCTAGCATTCCATTAGCTTTCTTGATTATTTTCTGCATGTGCTCATGACTATAGGCCCAAAGTCCCAAATCTCTTTGGGCATTCTTTGTATTTAACTTCATACCATCCATAAAATGCCTTGATCTATCCTTTCTTGGTCCAAAATGGATAACCCCACATTTGCTTATATTGAACACCATCTGTCACAGTTTGCCCTTCCACCTACTCTATCAATATCCCTTTGTAATGTTATGCTATCATCTACACTGTCCAAAATGCTGCTTTTATCATCAGCAAATTTGCATGTATGACCTTCAATTCCATTATCCAAGTTGTTAATAAATAATATGAATAATTGAGGCCCTAATATAGATCCTTTAGGACACAACTGGTCACATCCCTTCAATTTTAGCACCCAGCCATTATCCCTACTTTCTGTCCCCTGCCATTCAACCAGCTTCCCAGCCATTGTCAGTAATTTTCCTTCATTTGTGTGGGCTGTAACCTTAGTTAACAACCCCTGTGTGGTAATTTATCAAATGCCTTCTGGAAATCCATTTAAACAATATCCATAGACAATCCCCTGCCCACTTCCTTAGTCACCTCTTCGAATAATTCAATGAGGTTTGTCAGGCCTGACCTACCTGTCATGAATCCATACTGGCTGTCCCTGATTAACTGAAAATTTTCAAGGTGTTCAGTTACCCCACCTTTGATTATAGACTCCAACAATTTCCCCACAACAAATGTTAGGCTAACTGGTCTGTAATTCCCTTGTTTTCCTCCGTCGCCCTTCTTAAAAAGTGGAGTGACATGTGTAATTTTCCAAACAGGAGGGGCGATTCCTAAACCTAAGGAACTTCGAAAGATTATAGTTAGAGTATCTACAATGTGTTCCCTTACTTCATTTATCACCTTCTAGTGTAATCTTTCAGGTCCTGGGGCTTTGTCACTCTTTAATTACATTAGTTTCCTCATTAACAATGTTTTATTTAAGTTAAAAACAGAAACAGAAATTGCTGAAAACACTTGGCAGGTCTGGCAGCATCTGTGGAGAGAAATCAGAATTAATGTCTTGGGTCCAGTGATCCTTCTTCAGAACATCTGGACCTGAAATGTTAACTCTGATTTCTCTCCACAGATGCTGCCAGATTTGCTCAGTTTTTCCAGCAATTGCTGTTTTTGTTTCCGATTTCCAGCATCTGTAGTTCTTTTGGTTTTTAACATATATTAATTCTATTCTGCCCTTGTCCCTGATCTACTATTAATTCACTTGGGACTTCCGGCAATCTGTCCTCCTTTTCTAATATAAATACTGAGGCAAAGTAATTTTTAATTCATTCACAGGATAGGATGAGGACATCACTGGCTCGACCAGCATTTCTTGCCCATCCCTAATTGCACAGAGGCCATGTTAAGAGTCAGCCACATTGGCTGTGTGTCTGGAGTCCTAAATAGACCAGACCAGATAATGATGGCAGTTTCCTTCCCTAAAGGACATTGGAGTTTTCCCAACAATGGATTCATGATCATCATCAGACTCTTAATTCCTGATTTTTATTGAATTCAAATTCCACCGACTGCCATGGCAGGATTCATACCTGGGTCTGCAGAACATTACCTGAATCTCTGGATTAAACATCCAGCGATAATATCACTGAGCCATTGTCTTCCCCTGGAGTTATTGAATTTTTTAACATATATGATATTTCCCCACAGTCTTTGACAATATCCTCACTTCCAGTCTTTAGTCAGTCAACTTTGCTCCTGACCACACACTTTCCCTTTAATTGTAAAATTTCTTCTTATTGATTTTGATGTCCTTTCCTTTCACATGAAAGATTCCTTCCATAATCCCATTTAGTAGCTTTTATAAGCTGCTTTGTGGCTCTTTACCTGCCTTTGTATCTTTTCCATTCAGCAGGATGTGTGTTCTTTTTTGCATTTTTATAAGCCCATTTTCTTAGTTATATGCTGTCCCTTATCTCTTTAGTTGTCCATGACTGTTTTTCTTGTTTAGTGGAGCATTTCCCTCTTGGGGTACAATCTGGTTTTGCATAGTGTTAAATGATGCTTTTAGCCTCCTCCCTGTTCTTTAGTTGTTTTTACTCATTTGCAGACTATCCCAGTTAGTGTGAACAGTCTCTGTCTCATCTAATTAAAGTTAGCCTTGCTCAAATCTAGAACTCACTGAAACTTTCAAACGCTACATTGAACTCAATCATATTACTTTCACTATTTGATAAATGTTCAT